CCTACACTATTTCCTTTCAGAGATTCTATTCCCTTAATCTTAAGGGGATGTTGAGGGAGGAAGGTCTGTCTTCTGTAACTTCTTCAAAGCTGAGGTAGGGCTGTAGTCCCTGCCTATTGGGAAAAAAAATCTCTGAAAGCCTATTCTAAGGGCCCCAGAGGCAGACAACGTGAGGTCATTCCAGCATGTAGAAGTGGTAGGAAGTCTTATAACCTAGAAGATATAAACTTAGCAAAAAGATAGAAGAGACAAGTCAAAGTTAATAGTAGAGGGAATTGTCAATGAAGTTACTTTTTCATGGCAGTTTGTTAATTCAAGGTACATAAAAGTTCCCTGATTCCTTGGGACATGTGGACTTATCTAGTTTCCAGAACAAGAGTGTAGATCTTCCACGGGTTCATAGGAATAGGCTTTACTTTCCGGTTTATTTTCTGGAGGAAACTGTGAGGACTCATAAGAAACTTGGTTAATTCAAGACAAATGTACCTAGTTGTTGATTCCTTGTACTTTGACAGCAGTTGGGAACTTAACAAAACTTAGTAGGGCCCTTTCTGTTTGCCCTGAGGGCTGACTATGTCTTCCTGTCACTGTGCAGTTAGCATTGGAGAGAGGCCCACGGGATGGGTCAGGACAGAGTAGATAGCTCTAGTATCTAGTAAAAATTCAGTTTTTCCCTCTTGTCATGTCAAGGGTGACCTGAGGTCCCACTGTTGTGATCGTGGTGGATTTTTCCAGGACTGGAGCTTGCAAGAGCTTGAGCCTCCATTGTTGGTTCAGTTTTTCCCTCTTGTCATGTCAAGGGTGACCTGAGGTTCCACTGTTGTGATCGTGGTGAATTTTTCCAGGACTGGAGCTTGCAAGCGCTTGAGCCTCCATTGTTGGAGGAGAGAGCAGCCCCTTCATGAGAGGTTTGCTATGTGGGGCGAGGGCTTATGAGGTCCACCCCTCCCCGGCTCCCCAGGGCTAGATGAACATCCGCTCTTTTAGTGCCCATCCTTCTGCAGTTTGCACATTGATTATGCCTCAGTCCCAACAATGCCACTCATGGCCAACCAAGATCGAGGCCCTCCAGGCCTGCAAGGTTTCTATTGCCTAGGGTCACCTTGAGATGGTCCTTGTATTATGGCAGCTAAAATTTGCACCTGTTTTGCACATTGCTTCCTTCTCTGCCCGGTCCTAGTTATTGGACACCTTAAAGACCTTTGGCACCAAGGTAGCCTGCGTGGTTGGGGTCTAAGCCCCAACTTTTGGAGCTTCCTTTGAATATTAGGCACAGACCGAGTTATGAAATGTATAGCTAGGAGTGTCTGGCCCTCAGACTTTTGGCTAATGTTAGTATATTCTCTAAAAGCCTCAGAAAACTGGTTGAAGCAACATAAAACACAGAAATTATTTTGATTAAGCACGGAATCCTTGTTTTCCACTCAGAAAACTTTTCTATAACATCAGTAGCAGACTAGTAGTCTAAGAAATATTAAAACACAACTTTAATTTTGTATGAGTTTACTTTTGCCATTTAAATTTCCAATCTTGTTTAGCTTAATCACATAAAATTTCCTCAGGATTTCTCTTTATAAACCTTCTACTTCTTTCCTCATTCGAAAATAACCAACTTTAAGACAAATATCTTTCCTTTAATTTCCTTCAAAATAAATTTCTATACTTCATACCTTTTGTTACCAAAAACATGCATTTTCCTTTCTATTATAATTAGAATTCTTAATTTAACCACTATATTACTTATAACGCAGACGAACATAGATCAGAGGTCATGCACGTACTTATATTTTCCTATCATCAGTATTTGTAACTTCCCTGGGGGTGCATATCTAGTTTCTTCAGGGAGTGATGAAATAAGGGGGTCCCTAGAGAACTTGGACCCCATCAGAGCTCAAGGGTGAAGGAAGAGGAGAAAACTGATGATTCTGAGATCTCCGGGAAGGTGCTTTTATCACTGGGCCATCTAATAAGTCTGCGTCTTGGTAAAGGAGCATAGAAGCTTGTATGTAGGGAACTTCTTCCTATTTTCCAGCTTCTTGCAAAAAAAAAAAAAAAGATCTAATTGGAGGATAGTATTGTAGTTTAATGGACCGTTTACAGGCTAAACTTTTGAATCCCTTCCCATTGTTAGTTTGGAAGGAAGAGGGTCCCCTATGGGTCCTCGGTGGGAGGAATTCCTGTGGCTGTATTTCACTGACAGCCGGGCTGTGGGGCTGAGGTGCCTGCTTTCTCTGCAGGGCACAAGCTGGGAAGTGCTTGTGCCACTGGTGAGGAAGGAGGAAAAATATTTTTTCCTTACTTTGAGTTGAACCTGGGCTGCCTGGCAAAAGCACTGAACTTTGAACCCCCAAGATAGCAGGGAACACAATCCTAGCTGTGTCTGAATCTGAAAGCATGTCACCCACCCCGAGGATTGTGTATGTGCCCTGTGGCATGCTGCTGGTGCCGCCTGGAAAGGCTGAAGAGGGACAGGAGATGGCAGCACGGGTCTGGGAGGTTTAGTACAGGGGCGTTAGTGAGTGCCTGTTTGATTTTTTTTTTTCTCTCTTCTTTCAAAGGCCTTCTGCTGTGTAGATTCCCAGAGTAGGGGCTCCCGTTCTCCACGCTTTGTGGCTTCATAGAGGAGTCTGGCCACTTGTGTTAAAGGTAATTTGAGCCTGTAGTTTTCCTAGGGTCAACTTGACCCCATAATCCCGAGAAGCCTTTCTTAAAAATTTTCAACATACAATTTAAGACAGTTGGTTTAGAAGAATCTCCCCCCCATATTTGCCTTAGGGAGCATCCTAATGGAGGGGAAAATAGACCTTAAAATTTTAAGAAAATAATCTGACAGAGGGCCCCTACGTCAAAAGGGCCGTTTGGAGACAGACAATTCTTAAGCCGAATTAGTAATTAATTGCCCCTCTCCCCCATATCCTACCCTATGTTGGTGACGCAAAGACAAACAAGGGTGGGTGCCTCCTCCACAGAGGAGACCACTCAGGTGCTCACTTGGCCATGTCTTGAAGGAGCTTAGGCGATTCTTGGCCATGGTGGACTCAGCTTTATGACCTACAATCGGACACTAGTCCAGTGCTGCTATGGACTGTATGCTATATGTCACGGAGCCGCAGATTAGCCCACTCGAACTCTGTGGACTTTAGAAGACCTTTAAGGGTGCCCAGCCGTGGAGCTACAAATTTGTACTTGAATGAGTCAAACCGGCCAGGACGCTCATTCATTCACTCATTCACACACCAGGCTAAAACATTGCCTCCCCACTGCTTTGGAAGGCCCTGACCTTTGTCTTCTCCCCCTGGGAAGATCCTGACCTGTGGAGAGTAAGCGGTCACTCCTCTTAACCTGTGGAGGACGCTTGCT